CCCACCTTTCACTTTTTAAGTTATAAGTCCCATGTAATAAGGAGTTAGCCTATTGCCCGATATCGGGATATTTATATCGGTTACAATTTCAGACTTCGTGCTACTACTGAGTTTTTTTTAAGTCAGTAGTAAATCTGTGCCCGACCCAGGAATTGAACCCAAAGCTCCTTGCCCGGCAGTCGCACATCCGACCACTTGACCAACGAGGCAGTCACTTCTTCTTCTATCTTTACGTAAAGATAGAAGTGACCTGTACGTCATCAATCAGTCATTCGGTAATACTGAGAAAAAGATTTCCGAAGAAACCAACAATATTTCTTTTTTATTTCAAACTCACTGAAACAATTTGGATTTATGTTCTCTGTGTAACAATCTCAATCCTTATTTGGATTTTCACCCTTGTTATTGCGCGTAGGATAATCTAACCCTACAAATTAATCCTAAGTTTCATCTTCCGAAACCAAAGTAGAGGTTACTACTGCCCGGGGACCTCACCGCCAATATCCATGTTTAAAATAATTACATAAATTCTAAAACGCCTCTTTAGAGGATTCTATTAAGGGGTGCTAATGAATTATGCGATCAAGATAAATTAGTTTTGATGTAATACGAATCTTAGTAGGTATACCAAGAAAAGGGTTTTAATTAAATATGATAATAGGTGTAATGGACATCATGATTTGTTTGCCTTTCCCAAGGAAGCCATTACTATCCGTTTCTATGTCAATAAATTATATATCATTAAGTAATTCAGATAACTTATGATGTTTGTTATAACACGAAGAAATCACAAATTAGTTAATGTTATTTATTAAGATAACTAATGAAGGAACAAGGGTCGTGGTACTTATCTACCCCTTCCAATAAATGCTCTGCATATAAATAGTTACCACAGCTCTTGTCCAGACAGTCAGTAAAAGAGTTCGGTAAAACAAGTCAGTAAGAAATAGTCAGTAAGACATAGTATTGTCAGTAACAGTTAACCTATATTACTTTAAGATATAACGTTCTTTCTTTGTTTAAATAAAAAGTGTACAGAAGCTTATTGTCTCACTCAAAGTGTCTCCCACACATCACCTATCTACAACGCCACCGCTCGGGCCATTACAAATTGATGTCAGAGTTTGGGATTGATTGATTGATTGAGACTACTTCTCTTCGATTGTTCGAGACCTTCGTCGGAGTCTTTCACCTCCGATTCTTCTGCAACAGTCCAGAGCATCTGAGCATCTGAACATCACGACGAGATCGAGATCTACGGAATTGGACAAGACGTATCTTCAGCGGTCCGAAGATTAGAATTCCATCGCTTACGC